TTAATTGTTGGTAGAAGGAAAGAAAAATTCAACAATTTGGTTTTCCTTTATAGCTTGATAATTATTCTTGATTAAGAATGAGGGATTTTATTTTTAAATCTTATTAGCTCATCGGAAGTTTTAGGTTATGATCGTTTGTGATTCCTACAACTATGTTCTCTAGGTATGTGGAAAACGCATATTGATCCTAAGAGAGACATACGATCATCATCGTACTTAATCACAATTATTCATCTCATGAATTAATTAATAAATACGATTAATTGCAAATATAATTAACGGACTTCTTTCATTCATAAATCATTCAAATAAGAATGAAGTCCATTAATTATTTGCCATCCAATTTGTGTTCCATTAATTAAACTAATTTAACGATTAAATTAAATAATTAATCCAACACTATTCTTTGAATTCAAATTAAATTAATGGATCAATTATCTAATTGGGTTTAATTGATAAATAATTTCAAAAATTAAAAATCAATTAATTTTAATATTAATTCTCAGAAAATCGAATAATTTTTTTTTTTTTTTTTTTTTTTTTTTTGTTTGCGCTGACCGGACCGGTCGGACCGGTCCGACCGGACCGGTTCGGTCAGCTGGGGAAAAACAGCAGAAAAACGAGTTTTTTCAAAAATTAAAAATTTTTATATTTTCTGAAATATTCAAAGTATTTAATTAATATTAAACACCCAATTTGATAACACCAAAAATTCAACAATTCAACAAATCGAAGCATGCTTTCGAAAACGATAAACACGTTGACAAATAAACGATTAACCCGTGGCTCTGATACCACTGTTGGGGATCGTGCATGTATACGCAGCGGAATTTTAAAATTTTTATATCGAACTAGTTTCGATTACATGCAATACTAATCACATAGTCAACGTACCTTAACGCTTCCGCCATACATATGGTAATTTTCGATTTAATTGAAAAATACATAAAACCGAAAATCACGAAACATGCTTATTCATCATTTAATGAAATCGAAACATGTAATCACATATTACTCATAATCGTAAATCATAATTCATACAAACATGCTCGAATAAGTTTACGAAAGTTTCGATTCATTTACCTCTTGTAGCGTGCGATTTCGACGAATCGAAATCTCGGAACGAGTCACGTACAAGCTGCTATATACCACTCCTAGGGGCTGCACCTCACGGCTGGACCGAGCTGATCCAGCAAGCAACGAGCGGCGACGAACGGCAGCAGCAGCGGCGGCGCGTGGCAGCGGCAGCGGCGACGCGTGAGCGGCGGTGCGGCGCGTGCGGTGGTGCTCGGATTCGTCGGGGCAGCAGCTCCTCTCCAATTAGGTTTCACCTCGTATTTTCGACCCACTCGAACTATAGCACTAGATATAAACGAGTTAGATAACAACACGAATAAAACGAAGGAGAAAGAGGAGAAAACCGGCGGCGTTTCCGGCGGTGGTCGGCGGTGGCGCGGCGGAGATGCAACGGCCGAGAGGTGTTGAGCGGCTAGGGTTTTTGTGCTCAAAAAATCTGATCTCAAAACTCCTTTTGAGGTCTATTTATACCTAGGGTTTTCAACCCTAGCGGGCTTAAGTCATTGGGCTTGACCCACTGATGCATTAAGCCCATTCCCTTTACGGCCTCGTTTCTAATAAACGATCGTCCACAAAATTATAACAAAATTATATTTGTGACGAGCTCAAAGTCCTCGTCGATACGAGTGCCTCTTCGAAATTTCCAATTTCCAAAATTGGAAACTTCCACTTCAGTGGACTTGCTAAATCGGGAAACTTCCCAATTTAGAAAGTTCACTAAATTCCGCATGTCTCTCTTTCTCTACGTTTATTCCAATTCGCAATCCACAATTACGAATCTTGGATTCAATCATATTGACATCCAATCGTTTCAAAGATTAACACATTAATCTATGTTTGTTGTTATCAAGGATCTATATTACACGAGAAGTGTGACCCTCAATGGTTCAGGTGTATGCTAGCCGTGGGCTCACAACTCTTTGTGATTCGAACAACACATTGTTCTTATACGAACTCCTCCCAAGAGTCCCGATTAGAGTAAAACTCATTTTACCTAATCCCGATCAAATTGGTGCCCAACGAATCAAGATTGGCGTCTAGCAACTACGCGTCATGATTCCCTAGATACAAATGAAGTGCCTGCAAGAACCTTATGATATAGTTAGCGTACAGTACGATCCCTTCGTAGCACATGTCCCGATTGAACTAGAGGCATTGGTTCACCGAGACCTCTTATAAAGTTCAATAACCGTGCGAACGTTCTAGGTATTATAAATCCGTTCGTGTGCGACTTAGGGAAACACATTTCCCTAATCACCCCACTATCAACTCTGGCCAGAGATTCCATGGATTATAAACCGTCAGAACACACAGGACATCCATGACTGCTCAAGCGCTCGAATCCCCTACTACAATGCACAGACTTCACACTAGATTTCGGATTGCACGAACGTTGGCCCTTGGAGCGGTCCGCGGTGGGACTCAGGGACAGGTCACGATACAATCGGTCCTCTAGTGAAGTCACGGTGATGTCTGGGTCTTAAGGACTAATGGTGTACAACTATATCTTAGAAACCTATTACTCGATGAATGAGAACCACTTATAGATTTCTAGGGCGAGGGAGTTCAGTGAACTCATCCAGTATGAGCACCCACTCAAGTATGCCGATGTCACAACACCGAGGACTGATGAGACGCAGTACACATACACTAAGTGCTAGTCTCAAAAGGGAAAGGCCGGTATCCTCATTATTGGCGTAACCCATCGACTAGGAACAAGGTTTAACAGTTACATTACATTGCTGAGTTATCTCACGATTCTACTAGATCAACTCACAGTAATAGAGTAACTCGTTAGGACTATATCTATGCTGCTTGCATGGGATAACAGATATAGAATGCCAAATAAGATATTTTATTATTACGAACGAAAAACGATTGTTTTATTACAAAGAAAAGAGAAAGACCACAGCCACAAGTTGGCTTGCCGGTCACCTACTCTAACAAAAACTTGTTCTAAAAATCGGTAATTCTTAGATTGGATTCGCTCGGAAATTCTATTTTCTATTCACCTATAATATAAAAACGAGATCAGTTTTTATCCCTCAAATTTGTACTGGTTTTATATTTGGTTCCCATGTTCACAAAAAAAAAAATTTGACTCCTTATGTTTAAAAATTCAACATTTTTAGTCACTTCCGTCAATTTTCCGTTAAAACTAGGGGTGTGAACGAGCCGAGCTCGAGCCGAGCTCGCCTCTTTTGGCTGGCTCGAGCTCGAGCTCGAGTCTATTTTGTCGAGCTCGAGCTCGAGCTCGAGCTCGTCGAGTTCTTATTTTTTTGGCTCGAGCTCGAGCTCGTGTTAATTTTGTCGAGCTCGAGCTCGAGCTCGAGCTCGAGCTCGAGCCCAATCTCATTTTTTTTTTTTAATATTTTTTAATTATTATTTTATTATTAAAAATTATTTTAAAAAAATAAAAAATAAAAACTAAATTATGATTATATATTTTTTTAATATTTGTATTTATTTCTATAATATTTTATATTATTATACATTATTTAAATAAAAATAACATATAAAAAATAAAAAAAAATAAAAAAAAAATAAAAAAAATAAAAAAATAATAATAAATCCGGCTCGCGAGCCGGCTCGCGAGCTGATGAACAACTAAAATCCGGCTCGAGCTCGGCTCGTCAGAAAACTCGAGCTCGCGAGCTCGAGCTCGAGCTCGAAAACCTCGAGTCCGAGTTCGAGCTTTTTACGAGCCGGCTCGTCGAGCTCACGAGTCGGCTCGGCTCGTTTACCACCCCTAGTTAAAACTAATGGACTCAAGAATCAAGCATGTTCCATGTCTGCCTTACCTAACGGACTAATGGTAAATTAATGTAAATGACTAAAAATATTAAATTATTGGAAAACAAGGAACTAAATCTGTTTATGTGGGACATTGGCGGCCAAATGTAAAAACGATGCAAACTTAAGTTTGAGGGATGAAAACTAAATAATATTTACATTTTCAATTTAATAACTGAAAAAATAAAAATCAGAATTTTTAAAAATAAAAGGCGGCGACTATATGCAATCGCAAAATTACCTAGGGGAAGACCAAATCTAATTTTTCACCAAATGAATTACTAAAATACTATTATACCCTTACTAAAATACAAAATCCACAATTACAAACTTCCACAACTTCCTTTGTGCAAGACCACACAAGCAAAACCCATTTCATCTTGCTCACAAACCCATTTCACACAAATTCTTCAAAAAAAATTTCTTCATCTTCTCCAAAAATCCTCAACACCCATAACCATCAAATCCTACTAAAACATACAAATGATAATATTATGGAGTCACGAGACATCAATATGGAGAATTCTATAGAAAAAATAGAAAACAAACTATGAATGAATGTATTTTTATAGTTAAGTGATCGATTTTTAAGTTTTGAAAAAGAAAATTCGCACAGTCAAAATTCGACATTGACATGTCGAATTTTGTCACAAAATTCGACATTTAGATGTTGATTTTTTAGCAAAAAATCGACATCAACTCTAGATGTTGATTTTTGTGACAAAAATCGACATCTACATGTCGAATTTTGTGACAAAATTTCGACATCTACATGTCGAATTTTGTGACAAAATTTCGACATCTACATGTCGATATTTCGCCAAAAAATCAACATCTAGATTTTTGCCAAAAAATCGACGTTTAAATGTCGATTTTTCACCAAAAAATCAACATGTACAGGTCGAATTTTCTTCTTCTTCTTCTTCTTCTTCTTCTTCTTCTTCTTCTTCTTCTTCTTCTTCTTCTTCTTCTTCTTCTTCTTCTTCCTCCTCCTCCTCCTCCTCCTCCTCCTCCTCCTCCTCCTCCTCTTCTTCTTCTTCTTCTCCTCCTCCTTCCTCTTTCCTCCTTCCTCCTCCTCCTCCTCCTCCTCCTCCTCCTCCTCCTCCTCCTCCTCCTGATCCTCCTCTTCTTCTTCTTCTTCTTCTTCTTCTTCTCCTCCTTCCTCTTTCCTCCTTCCTCCATATTCTTCTTCTCTTCCTTTACAAGCACCCGCGGTTGGGCGGCGGCAATTCTTCGGCGGCGGGTGGGCGGCGACAATTCTTTGGCAACGGATGGGCGGCAACAATTTTTCTCGTCTTGTGTTCTTCTCTGCTTCCCCTATATCATCCCTCTCTCTCGTTCTTCAATTTCTCCTTTATTTTAAATTTTTTTTTTTCTTTTTGGTCTTGCAATAGTAATTATGTCTAATTTGAATGAATAGTATCAAAATCAATATTGGGGTTATATTTGTAATTTTCAATCTTGCTCTTAGTAAGTTTATTTATATTTTGATCTTGCATCGAGTAAGGTCTTGCACTCAGTAATTTTTATCTTGCATATATTCGTTGCCAAAATAAAATCATATCCAAAAGAAAATTATCATACATATTCCAATATCGATTCAATTTTATTTCTTATTCAGATTGAAATCCGAATTCGAATTCGAAATGAAAATATTATTCCAAAATCGAAAAATGCCGATCCAATTCCAATTTCCAACCCTTCCCAAATGTCAAAACTCCATTCTTACATCAAAAACCCCCAAACTCCAAAAACCCCTTAAAAACCCAGATTCTTTCCTTGAATCGGCTGCTCAACAGCCTCGTCGATCTATCAATCCCTTTTAAAAACATCATAAATTCTTACCTCGTACCAAAGATCTGGAATCGCAGTTGAAAGATTAATTAATGGCTTTCAGACGGAGCATCACCGCTCGAGCCAAGCTGCTATATCAACACCCACGCGCCGCCGCTCCATTTCCGCACATTCACCAAGATGACAACGATCAACAAAACCCTAACCCTAACAACCCCATTTCCAATAACCCCGTAATCTCCAATCAATTGCAGCGCTGCCTTTTCGGGACTGGGAATAATTTGGGCGGTTCTTACAGGTCGAGAAATTTGTTCCATGACCGGAGATTTGCGATTCCGGCTGGTTGTGGGCCGCCGGTTTTCTCGAGGAATATGTCGAGTATTGGAGAACGGCCGTCTGAAAATATCGAGATTATGACTGATATGGCGGAAGTGTTTGGGGATAAAGTGGTTGAGGTGGCTTCTTCGCAGGTGGGCCCGGTGGCGAATGAGGTGGCGCTTGCGGCGGCAGATTCTTTCATGCCGGTGGCTGCTCTCCAGTATTTGATTGACTACGTGCATTGTTACACTGGGTTTAATTGGTGAGTATTGAAACTCTGATTTTTTTTTTAATTCAAACGTAATAGTGTTCATCTGTTTGCGATAAATAATTGAGCTTCGCGTAATTCGACTATTCGTGATTTCCGATTGGATAAATTGTGCCTCCGATTTTTCTAAGGTTATGATGATTTTTTCTGGTACAAGTGTTTGATGCAATAATTCAACGGTTTAAAAAAAAAATCTCGATAATCGAGTTTTGTTGTAATTCCACTGTTCAAGGTTACCGATTGCAATTTTGATTGGTTACATTGTGCTTTCGATTTTTCTAAGGTTCTGCAAGAATTGTAAACCGGGTTCATTTCGAAATTGGTTCTGTTTAGGTGGGCATCGATTGTTGTGACGACGATTTTGATTCGTTGGATTCAACTTCCTCTTATGATAAATACGCTGAAGTCAACTTCAAAATTCACTGTAAGTTCTCGAGCACGTTCGGATTAAATGTATTTATCATTTAATTAATCGTATTTAAGCACTCGTAATTTATTTTTACGCAGCTTCTAAGGCCTCGTTTGGAGGAGATTAAGGAAGACATGCAAAGTAGGGTACGATCATCAATTTCTTGTTTATTTAGTTACCTTGTAATTTGATTCGATTTAATAATTTACGACTATTGATTAATACGTAATAGTAATTACTCGTTATTCGTTCAGGATATGAGTCCTGCTGCTGTAGCCGAAGGACAAGAACGAATGAAAAAGCTCTTTAAGGAGTACGTATCTTTAATTACTGTGTATTTTTATAAAATAAAGGGGACAAGAACGAACGAAAAATTGATTCGTATTTAATTGATTAATGAAAATATACTTGAATATTTTGTTTTTATTTTTCGGACTTCTAATTAAAAATTGCATCTTTATCGTATAGATACGGTGTTACACCACTAACGCCTTTGAAGGGACTTCTAATCACTGGTCCGATCTTTTTTTGCTTCTTCTTAGCTGTAAGTTCACATTTCCTTAATATTTTTTGTAGCTGTTAGTTATTTCGTCACTATTTTCCTACAAAAAATTTGACGCGATTCTTTCTCGTCGCTATTATGTGCAGGTTAGGAACATGGCGGAAAACGTTCCGTCTTTTAAAGAGGGAGGTGCGTTTTGGTTCACCGATTTGACTACTCCCGATACCATGTACATTTTCCCGATTCTGACGGCATTAACATTTTGGATTACGGTTGAGGTTAGCGCCCACCTTTATATTTGTCGACATTAGTATTATATTTTTTTTCTCCCATTGCATATTCCCGAGAAATCTTCTTGATAATTCGAGTTCTACTATAGTGTTAATTGTCATGTTTCTTGATAATGTGATCAACAACCATAGCTAATCTATTAGCCATTATACTCTTTGTTTTTGGAACTTGACATTTGCATTTGCATTTGTAGTCATACTTACTCTAAAGGGTAAATTACGGTCACCCCCCGAGGGAAGGTCAAATTACGAAAAAAACCCTTTTGTTTGGGTAATTACAACCACCCCTTTCACCCCTTTCAATTATGAATCTTCTTACACGTCCACCCTTATGGTGTCAAATTCAATATAATCTTCTAGATTTCATGGAATTTTTTCTAGTTTATACTCGTTTTGTGCAAAAATAAAATACAGTTCCCGATGCACTGCAATTTAATATTTACAAGTTAACAGACATATCTTATGACCATCTTGTTTCAAAATGTGGAGCTCGAATGGGGCAAAGCGGGTGCAGACTGGAGAATATTCCACATAATCTAGAAGATTCCACTAAATTTGACACCGTAAGAGTGGACGTGTAAGAAGATTTCATAGTTGAGGGGTGGTTGTAATTACCCAAACAGGAGGGTTTTTTTTCGTAATTTGACCTTACCTCATGGGGTGCCCGTAATTTGCCCTAATCTAAATAGCATGTGAAATTTCAATATAAACTAACCATCTCCTAACATAAATACGCATTTCTCGACATTATTTTGTGCGGTAATTTTCGTCTAATGGAATATGTCTGGTTATCTTATGTTTGCTATTTGTGATTACAATATAATGTTTATATTATGCTGTCCGAGAATAAAGATTGCCTTTCGGTTGTTTACAAAATTGTCAAGAATATCCTTATTTGTTGTTTAACTAATTATCAGCATTATTTTTTAAATACGGCGGTATACATGGTCATTAAATTTAATAGATCCAAAAAAGGATTGTGTAATCATACAGGGTTGAGTTTGGACTATGTATCCTTCATTCATTATGCTTGATTAAAATCGAGCTAATTTTTAATCAGGGTTTGAAACCTAAAACCCAAACATTCAACTAATCTCGATTATATTCTCTATCGAGTCTAATCCTACTTCCCAAACAAGGCCCTTGTGCATTAGGAAATCTTAATCGTGCTTTGTTTTGCTTAATTTGAAAATGGTATATTCCCTTTCAGTGCAATACTCAGGACGGTATGGAAGGCAACCCGACAGCTGGCACTATCAAGAACGTCTCTCGGGTCTTTGCCGTATTGACTGTCCCTTTCACTGCAATGTTCCCGAAAGTACGTGCATTATTTAAATTTGATGAATAATATATTCGTGATCGGTTATTCAATTTATATAACATTTACCCGAATTTTCCGTGGTCGCGTTCACAGGCTATATTCTGTTACTGGATTACCTCAAACCTGTTTTCACTCGCGTATGGGTTAGGTGGGGCCGTTTTTCTTTTTCCGAGTCGACTATGGTAAACGGGGATATCCC